AAAAAAAAAAAAAATTTTGCCTGTTCTAGATATTTCATATATATGGAATCCTACATTTATCTATTTGTGCCTGGCTTGTCCATATTGTAGGGTATGTAAGAACTTCATTTCTTTTTTAAGCCAAATCATATTCTGCTGTAATATTTTGTTTATCCATCCATCTCTAATCAACACTTGGGTTGTTCCCACCACTTGGCTATTGTGAATAATGCTGAAGCAAACATTTGTGTACAGATATCTCTTTGAGTCCCTGCTTTTTGTTCTCCTCTCCTCTTCCTTCCTCTCTTCTCTTCTCCCCTCCTTCTCCCTCTTTCTCCCTCCTTTCTTCTTCCCTTTTCTTTCCTTCCATTCTTCCCTTTCCTTCTTCCTTTCTTCCATTCCTTCCTTTCCTTCTTTTCTTTCTTGACAGGGTCTTGCTCTGTTGTCCAGGCTGGGTACAGTGGTTCATCACAGCTCACTGCAACCTCCAACACCTGGGCTCAAGAGATCCTCCTGCCTCAGCCTTCTGAACAGTTGGGACTGTAGGCACATGCCAGGGTACCAGGCTTTTGATTTGTTTTTTAGTCTATTTCCTCAGGGAGAACAGGTGTGTTGTCTCAATTATTTATGTGTTGCTTGTTTCCAACATAGTATATGTCACATAGTAGAACACACATGAATTATTAAATTAATAAACGCCTTTGTGGATTTTTTTCTTTTTTTTTTGGCCAGGGCCCGGTTTGAATCTGCCACCTCTGGTATATGGGGCTGGTGCCCTACTCTGTGAGCCACAGGTGCCACCCAGCCCTTGTGGATTCTTCTAAGAAATAACTCAAACTTAGGAAGTTTAAATTTTAGAAAATTTTAGAACAAGAACACTAGAGGATAATGTATTTGTCTTTTCTATCTTGTTTACTAGGAACTAGATAAGTGTTTACAACATCATGACTTCTTAAAGGCAAGAAGGAAAGAGATGCTACATAAAAGATGGGTTGACCATGTGGCAGACCCTCTCCAGAAGAAAATCATAGAAAAAGTTTGTTCATACAAAAATATTAAAAAAAGGAGACAAGAGGAACTAGATTGTTTTTTAAAACACATAAATAAAAAGGTACTAAGAGATCATTTGATACTTGTTCCAATTGGCTTAAAACCTGTGGTTATCTTTGTTCATTTATAATTGTCCAAACAGCCTGCCCCTCCCTCCATATAAAGAGGGTGCCAAACAAAATACACATTTCAAGAAAGGAAAAAAACTGTATTAAAATTGTAAATTGTGACTCAAGTCACATTTGACTTCTGCAATTACAAGAGATACAAGAT